ACCCAAACTATGGGCCACATAGCAAACCGCTGTAGTCTGCGCTTCTTCATCGGAAGCGTAACAGCAAAACTACACAAGCTCCCCTGAAGCCCTCTCGTCATGACTGGCAGAACCCCATTAGCTCCTGAACAAATTGCCATCATGCGCAAGAATAGAATCTGTGAGTTGTATCCATCAGTGGACTGGCAATGAACGTCCTGCATTGTATGTAGGCAAGGAAACCTGGACAACTGTACCTGATACTTCCCCAGAAAACCTGCCAGATGATGTGTTCGCTGTGCTCGTCGCGGTACCTAAAGTGCACCTTCTTTTTGATCGTTTATGTAACAATTTCTAAAAAAACAAAAAATGATCGTCACCCTCGCTGAAGCATAATTCATGCACCTTACTACAAAAGCAGGGGTGCACACGCCTGTGCAGACTACAAAGGCCCCTCGCACGGGGCGTGTGAGCGGGGACTTGGTCTGTACAAGCTGCAGGTAAGTACACAAGAGGCCGCACATTCCACATGTGCAGACCGTGTGCCACACACGGTGACACGCACGGAGTCATCGCGCTGCCAAGGAATGCGTGGGAAGGCTGTCACCTCGCGAGCATTCATTTGGGAAATCCCTGCTTGTTGCGTTCTTTGAAACAAAAACAAAAATCTCTGCTGTATATTGTTTATATTTCTCCAAGATTAGAATTTTTGTTAAACAAAATGTACGCACGTGATCTCGTTTCACGAACCCATAAAGTCACATTCTCAAAACAGGGTGACCTTTTTTCTCACTTACAAATCAGTCACCGCCTTTCGGGTATAACTAACGCAGCGCGCTTTCGCAAGTAAACAACATCAGTACGTTCAGACAAGTTTCCACCACTTACCTTCTTAGCCTTCTTTCCCTCTGTCGCCCATAATCGTGATCTCTCTCTTCCTCTCTTGTGTCGTGTCACTCTTTTCGTCAGTCCCTATTTCTCCTGCTCCCCTGTCGCCCCCCCCCCCCCCCCACCTCTCTGTCTCTCTGTATGTATATATTGTTTTTCTGTACCTCCGTCCCTCTCAACCCGTCAACACACCACCAGCACTGGAAGTGAAGCTGCTGAGGAAAGAAACTGAGGCCAACTCCCTGAACCCACCTCCTCACCACCCCCCGCTCTCACACAACGACACGCATGGGGCCTGGGGGCGTGGAAGCCGGGATGTGTGGGTGTGTGTTTGCTCGCCTGTGTGTGTGTGGGTTGGTTGTGTGTGAATGTACATGTGTATTTTCCTAAATACACAAGTGTGTTTATACATCTGTGTGTACACACATAACTGCTTGTTTCTGCATGTCAGTGAATGACGTTTTATTTGGTCCTACATATGAATGATATGAATGTAGGTATGTCTGGTTGTACGTTGCTTTACTTGTGTGTATAGTTCTGCACGTGTGTATGGATTTTGTAATGGTTGCCTTCCCATAGAGGTATGCATGAGCTATATGTGGAAACTGTTTTGAGAATGGTAATAATTTTTGCACTGGCTTGAGGTGGCAGTACTTGTGGTGCCGAATGTACGTGGGTGATGGACATCTGTGAAAAGAGCTTTATAGCTCATCGGATTCCTCCACTATAAATAAAGATTCTGATTCGTGTGTCACGTGGGGAACAGTGGCGCAATGGTTAGCGTGCTGCCCTATGAATCTGGCGACCCAAGTTCGATTCCCGCTCACGGCCAACACAAGTGACGATTATCTTAACCGGTCCAGGGCCTCATCTAGATCGACTCAGCTTCAAACGAGTACCTAGTGTGGTGTGTAAATCATCACAAAGGCGGTCGGGCGTGGTGTTGGACCACCCACCCCCTCGTGTACCGTTCCGGCCTTCATAGGTCCTCGCTAAGAGCGCTTGCCCCAAAAGTCGTTTAAAGGCTATACGGGGATCTTTGTCTTTGTGTGTGTCCGTTACCAGATGTAGCCCATGGCACAGGTCCCAGATGCAACCCCCCCCCATACTTCCCCCACCGCTGAAACTACTCCTTCACTGGAAGATTCCACTGACATCATCCTCACTGCTGCCTCCCCTCCTCATCTCCATAGAAAACATTCACCACCCCGAGCCACTTCAACACAGCCCCGTGTCCCGAGAGCTCCTCCACACCCAAAAGCCAAAACAACCTCCTCTACACCGTGGACTTAAACCCCTCGGTCCGCTAAGATTACAGACACACACACACGTGTAACATTGGAGGGGGCAGTACACCTCATGGCAGAGAGACGCAAGGCCCCGGCGGCAACATGACGTGCTGGAGATGGATGAACACAATGCACGGCAAAGGAGTGTCATGCGGGACACAGCATACCACAGCTTTATGACAGAACAATGAGACAAATGAGTTCATGGCACGATAAGGAGATGCAAGGTCAAAGAACGTAATGGTGAGGCGTACGGACCTGTGTTAGCATTACATAAATGGCCTTATGCTCAAACGAAGACATGATACTCCAAATGGACAGCGGAAAAAATTATAATCCAATACAGACACGGTGTACATTCCACATACATTTGTACATATAATGTACACGTTATGAAACATGGCACATAATACAGCACAGTACATATAAACACCCAAGAGAAGCGCATGAGCATACACACAGAAACATTACCCTTCACACACACACTTAATCGTCACCAGATGCCGCCCACAAATATAGAACACACACACACACCACACACACAGTGCTCACACACACGCGCACGCACGCAAAAATAACTTTACAAACAATAACCGTGATAACATTAATCTCCTCCTGTCCCAACCCCATCACTTTAAACAATGTTAACACGTTCCATAGGGGCAGCAGGGGCATCTCACTGCAGGCCACTACTGTTGCCCTGCTAGACCAGGCCGCCCACCCCTCCTCACCAGCTTGGTCGCCCTGCAAACATCTGGAGACACTCACTCACTCACGTCCCTCCCCCGCAAGCATCTGGGGCCCAGCCCAGCCAAAAACCACCACGCTCACTTTCTGCCGAAGCTGCTCAGTGTCGAGGCACCTACATTAGTTGAGGTGGGGGGGGGGGCATGATATTGTGGGAGGGGTGGGGCTCTTATATATGCACCAGATTTCACAGGTGACAAATATGCAGCTGCGTCAGACATCTCACTGCCTAGCATACATCTTCCAGTAGGATTTTCCGATAATAGCATTGCTGCCAATTGGGTAAATCGAATAAGGGTGAAGCACGTGACAATGGACGTTATAACGTTAAAAAATGGCTTCAAAGCGTTTCACTACAGCATGTAGATATTTCTTTCCAATTACTATGTTCGATACATGTCCTACTGTAACTGCAAGCATGCTTTTAGTTAATGAAACAGCTCCTTAAATTAAAGACACGGCCATCTCGAGCAATTTAAATTGAGGGTAACATGGGGTACATTAGCAATCAGAGGAGGAGAACTCAGCATCGACTTTGAAATAATGGGCAGCAAAATGCATGCATGCAGAGACTGGGTGTATTACATTGGCTGCTCTGGTTGCCATAGACAAACATCTGGCAAGGCCAGTGCCATTGCTTGAAAGTCCTCGTGGGATATATTTTGTTTAAGCCTCCCAACGGGGTGGATAAAAAATAAAGCGTCACGTCCCGCAACCTCCGATTAGCCCGGTTCGCTACGAACGGTGCGAAAGAAGTTTGACAAACGAAAGTACAAAACCACGCTCTGCTCGAAATCATAGTGAAGCGTACACACATATGGATTTAGTCAAACGAATGGATAATGGATGCTGCGAATAAGTTTAAATTCAACAAGCTACGTGTGATAAATTCCGTCCGATTCGAGACAGTAATAAGCAGGATGCTAACATAAAACCAGCATGTAAGCTGCTTTACATGGCGTCAATCGTGGCTACTAAAGAGTGGCAGTAATACTGTTCTAGCACACGGTATGTTTGTCAACATTCAGACAAATTTAGTTTCGAATTAGTTCACTTCTTCCTCCTTATTTATCAACGGAATCCTCGTGAATGAGCCTGTTAAGCTCTATGATTTAAAAAAATAACTGACAACTATTGCCTCTTGTTCTCCTTTCATCACTTCATGGTCACTCTACGGGTTATCAAAGGAAGATAAGCACATTCGTGAGGATGACACAGACTGAGAGAGTCCTAGATTCATTGACAATGGTGGAACCATTTCAGCCGTTGTTATGAAGCTTTTTGTGTCTGGGGGAGAATGAGATGAATGGGAACCAAAGGTGTAGATGGAAGTGATATGTAAGAAAGATAAGACGGACCAGGAGTTTCACATCTCAGCTCTACGACTTAACGGACAAAACCTCGCTGATGAACAACACACGGTATCCGTGTCGACATCACGGCGGTTACGATGGCACTAGCGGTTACAGCCCGCAACACCGACTAAAGTGGATATAGCGGCAATAGAGTTCACAGTGAGTCTGAAAGTCAAAGTGTTGTCTCGTCGGTGTGGAGCCGCCTTCTCAGAGGCCGATACCCGGGCGCGGGTGGGTGGAGATGGCTACCATGGCAATGGAAAACACATCCCACAAACAGCACGGGAATCCAGCGCCATGTGTATGTGCGTGCCTGCGCGCGTGCCCCGGGCGCACGCGTGCCCAGCAAGCACGTGCGCGCTTCGAGGTGTCCACACGTGACAGCGTGTGCACGCACGTGCGTGCGGACTTGTGCTCGCGTCCACTACTCCTGGTCCGCCTTGCAAAGGACACTGATTGTCTTATTGGCAACAAAAAAACTAAAAACCTCACGTGGATCTGAATAAGGGCCCATCGATCGACTGATTGATTTGTAAGTATGGATGTCGGCGGTTAGCTGCGCGCGCACACTTTGCGAACAATGAACCAGTTGTGCGTCTACCGCCTTGAGCGAACAATGCGTGGGTTTATAAACGTGCACATGCATTCAGCGCGGTAGTGATCCTGGCGCCACCGAACTGGTAAGCTGAGAGTGTGTGCACGCTGTAAGCTATAAGGTGTAAGTCGATGTGAGTGTGCTCACCATTAGTGAGCTGAGCATGAAGGTCCCCGTATGAGACCCAGCGGAGGATAGGGTCACTGGAACTGCAGTCCACCGTAATGCCCGGGGGTACATCTCCTTTCCCTGAGCATGCGTGTGGGATACATCATCAGTGCACATGGCCACATGCGAGTTTACACGTGGAAACGCTGGCACACACACACGCACGCATACACCCACCCACTTAACAGCCACACCCTACAGATGCACACATCCGCACCATTCGCCACTTGTTATATTCTGCTGATATACATTGTGTCAAAATTTAATATTAGATTTTGGGATGATTATGGGCTGATTTTTTGTTTTACAAATCAGAGCTAATTTCAAAGGTTTCGGTTTAATAAAAAATATACCCCCCGAGTGTCTTGATGCAATCTAATCCTGACGAACAACAATCCTGAGACACTTTTCAGGCAGAGTAATTTTGATGTCTTGAAATTTAAATCACTAAGCTAGTGACCATAACTTGAGTGTAAGGATATACTAAATTGGGGTTAATCCATTCACAAGCCTAGTAACATGAACATCACTCTAAACCTGTGTGATTACTGCAAAGCATCTTAGAACTAAACTAACAAAACTCAACGCATCTGTTAATAGTAATGCCATAAACAGGAAAAATATATAATAGGTGACGTCAGTTTAACACGTTAGCTTTCGCGACCAATGTTATTCACGATAAAAAGTATTTTGGGTTAGATCGCCTAAATATAAATGTTTTGTTAACCCACCACCACCCGACACAGCCAGTCAGTAAGGTTGTCACGTAAACAAAACGTGCCGATTCGTTACTACTTCAGCACACCGCTTGTGTGTTGGAGAGTAAACTCACAACATTTACAATTTCAAAAACTTTGATTATGAATATGTGACGTTTTGGGCAATGGCCCTTTAGCAGGTAGGAAGGGGGCATTGTCAGAAATATGAAACATTATATATGTATTTAACTTCAGGGCAGTGTGATGTTTGCTGATGAATGTGTTGAGTCTTTGTTATTTGCGCTTATGTCCATCATTGCTCGTGCAGTGACCATAGCGTTTTTGCTGGACAACTGAAAGTACCGCGGGTGTAGTTTGCCCGCAACTCTGGCGATTCTGAATCTGCTGCAAGTGGACGGTGATGTCCCTTTAGGGGCGTGTGCGTGTGTGTGCTAGTGCCATCGCGGACTTGCCACCGGCGGCTATAAGGAGTGGCCGTCAGGGTTCACATCTGTGGAGGAGGCTCGTGAGAGTGACACTGTTTGGGCAGCTGGCGGCAGCAGCCGCCCTCCAGAATTAGCGCGAGGTGGAGGGGTGACGCTCACAGCAGCGAGCGTGACTCAAACGCAGCAAGTGTCTGCAGAAATGGGCACGGTCGATTTGAATTCCAGCCATTTATATTTCTCGTCCCAATCTGCTCAAATGTGTCACGTGATTTCCTGTAAATTGACAGTTTCCACTTCATGGAACCGTACTGTGCACCATGACGGGCACAGATGCTGTCATGTCATCAGTAATATTTCGTGTTGAATTACAAATGTACTGTCCATTCTGTGCCGCTACAATGAACATGAACCGATTCAGTTCATGTGCAGCTGCAGGGTGGATTATTAAATCGTCGGAGCATGAGAGATGGAAGCTGCTTTTGAGGTCCTTCATCCAGCAGTGGATTGAATATGGATGATGATTATGAGCAGCCCAGCACATAGTGTGAGCTTTGTCCAGCACTTTGTAATGTCACGACATGAATTTGCGAATTAACTTCATGACATACTACACCACCGGTTAATGTTTTGACTCAGGGTAGAGGCACACCAGGTACATCAAGATAATTTTTATTACTGATGCCGACTGATTGTACTCAAGCCTGGGTGGTGGGGATTGCATCTCAGAGCACTAACCGCCATAACGCAGCTCACTTTAATAGTTGCCCAAAACAGGACTTGCCTCAACAGTGCAATGAAGCTAGGAGATGATCGTTATCTTCATGTGCATGTGTGTGTGTGTGTTTGCATGCGTGGAGAGCAGTAGTGTAGCTCACGGTCAACACCAGTGACCATTATCTGAACCGGTCGCGGGCCTCCCTTAGATCGAATCAGCCTTAAATGAGTACCTGGTGTGGTGTGTAAACATCACGCCTGGAAAGACAAAGCGGGCCGGGTGTGGTGTTGGCCATCCACCCCCTCGTGTGCCATGCCAACGTTCATAGGTGCTCGCTAACAACACTTGCCCCGACAGTCCGTTCAGGCTATATGGGAGATCTTTGTCTTTGCATGTGTGCGTGTGTGTATGTTGCTTCCTTACCAACATCATGGACTGGGCCAGAGGAAAAGAGCAACTCGACCTGGCCAGAGTCTGGGAAGCCAGGATCTGAGGTGCCACATACAAACACAGAACAATAAATATATCGTCAACATAATTTATTATTTACATCGGTGCCTCCCATGCAGCACATCTGGAGGTACCAAGACAATTCGTCGCTCAGACCAGCGCAAGGCAATAACCTCACCAAGCATCATCGGGAAGCGAGGAATCATGAGGCAATCAAGGCCCCATGATTCTTGGTGAGGTCATGACCTTGGCAGGCAGTTTCGTTCATCTCCTTCACTATCCTTTGAACCGCATTGTTGTTCACTTGATAAACACAAGTAAGTTCGAAACCATGTTTCACGTAAACGATATTCGAGGTGTCTCGTCTGTCACATCCACTTAAATTGTCTCCATACCACACATTCTGATGAGTGAACAATGTTCTAAAACCCCCCAGAAACGTTAACCATAAACAGACCCACAGTGTAATTTATAAGACACCACAAAGGACTTCAACCGGGGTATAATGAGTGCACAATAACATGTGGAGTTAGAAGGAAAAACACGTGATGAGCAGGGCATCTGGTTGTACAGAGCTCTAAAGATTAAGACTTTAGTGAGTTTTTTCATTTCATACATTTTAATTGTTCTCCGTATGCTTTTCACAAACAGTAAAACCTCGTTATTTCTGCATTTGATCATTCGTAATTGGGGATCATTCGGCACGGGTGCACTTTCGGCATACATACAGCATATTAGTCATTCGCCGTGAGCCGAATCGCCGTACCGAATGGTACAATTTCGGCATGCACGTGGAGTGACATCGCGCGGTCAGCGTTCGTGCCGCAGTGAAGTGCCACATCAGCTGATGTCGCCTGACAGCGTGTAATGTGGTGTAAAAGTGTCAAATAATTTAATTGTTAAGTGAAAAAATGGGAAGTTTAAGTTAGTGTAATTTGGTGTTTAAGTTATCAATTAGTGATAAAGTGAACATACAGTACATTAAGTGCATTAAGCCTTCTCCACGACCTACTCTTGCCACCTACCACATGGAGCCAATCACATCCTCCTCCTTTGCCTGCAGTGCTGGTTACTGATGATAGGGGTAACTTTGTTTGGAAAATACATTTTGGAAAACAAATTTGGAAGTTTTTTTCATTGGGTCAGGAGGCACTGGGGAGTACGATTGTACATAATTCAGAATATTGGATAATTCGGCAAGGCCAGAGCCGAAATAACAAGGGTTTACTGTATAATTAATATAAAACATAACACTATAAAACATACCGACTTAAAATAAGTAGAATTGATTGATTGGCCGTGGAGAAAATGTATTGGCAGATCCAACTGTAACTAAAAAAATCGCAAGTTGAAGAGAGAGGAAAATAAAAACACCGAAACATTAATTATTTAGAGGAAAATATGTATTTACAGATCCAACTGTAACTAATCAAGATTGAAAATATTTAAGTTAAGTAAATTTGCAAAAGATAATGCCCTAGTCCAAGCATAACAATATTATTGACTAATCAACACGCAAATTAAGTAATTATAAAAATTAACATACGCTTTAACATATGGTATAACGTGATGAGCAGCACACTGCACATGTAACATGCAACTAATAAACAATAACTACTGTGATGTACAGCTCTTTGTCAATCCACTACCAAATGAAGCCCCGTCCCATGCCGCATCAATCACGGATGTTGTCTGACCACACTTGACCACGCTGGTCCGTGCGTGCTGCTGAAGGTGGTGAGTGGGGGGGGGGGTGGTGCAGGACCAGTCCTGAAACCACTCTCTGCCGATGTTAGCCGTGGCCAGGAAATCAAACCTACGTCGCTGGGTTCAACATAGCAGTGCACTAACCACTGCGCCACCGCTCCACCCCTCCACTTTGCACCACCCGCAGGTGAACACATGTGTACGAATGTGCGCGTGCACGCACGCGCTCGTATGCGTACAGCGCACTCACACCATGAAGCGTGCGCGTATCAGGCTGCGGCTAAAAGTGGCGGTGAGGTGCTGTTTACTCGTAGCGCTCGCTCGGCTAGGAATGTAGCGCTACTTCATCTCCTGGCATTCCAACTCAAGGGCTATGCAGTGTTTGGACTGTGCAATCAGCTGTTTACGCAGTGGACATTACAGAAGCAGCAGCAGCAGAAGCGTTGCCAATAAGTACAGGGGGGGGGGGGGGGGGAGAAATAATGCGGACATAAATAGCATCTGTCCCCTGTCACTTCTGATGGGTTGTCAGAGCGGAGACCAAGAGGCACCCCCTGCCGGCAAGAGGCCCCATGGGGGCAAATCCCATTTTAAAAGATGTAGTTACTGGTGGGAAAGTGTATTGTCTCAGCGGGGATAAACAGCGAGCTGTCACGCAAGACGTCTGAGTGAGCAGAATGGATGCATTCCTTTATTTGTAACCAAGTGTGATCATGTTTAGTGACAAGGTTGCCAACCAATTTAAGATATCTGTTGGGAGGAACACAACGGGCTGAGCACAGCGAAGTGTGTATACCCAAGGCAGTTACTGAAGGCGAGCTGGGATCAAGGTGAGCAAATAAAGAGGTGGGTGAGAGAAGGTTTGATGAATTACTGAGATTAATCACAAAAAGAAAGATATGCACCTGAAGAATTAAGCTGTAACGCAGTTACGTGTTCCCTGCGTTGGCATGTTGGCAGAGAATGTAATGACACATAATACAAAACAAGCGTGGAGAGGTTTGCGCCTGGATTTGAGGAACGTAAGGAGGAACACGTGGATCAGAGAACGTAAACAAATTAGAGACATCGTGTTGACTGTTAGGCACAGAGAGGTTGGGCAGGCCACGTAACTATGAGGGATGATGATGATGGCCAGGAGTCGTGACTAATAGCATACTGGCAGCCAAAGCAGGGAACACACCCAGAGGATGTACACCACAAAGGGGAAACGTTAGATCAGCTGTTGTGCCGGAGCTATATGGATTGTTGTGAGTCACGGTGACAGCTTGGGGGAGGCCTTCATCCAGCAGTACATAGATAATGGCTGATACATGATGATAAGCTTGTTCAAATTAATGTTAACGTGCTAAACAGACATCTTTAAAATAAAATTTCGATTTAAAGCTTTCGTGACTGCAGGGATTCGTATTCTTGGTTCTTTCGGTAAAGTCACGTAGAAGGGAAATAATGAAATAATACAAATTAAACATAATAAAATACAATTCTCACGACGTTTCGGCCACGGCGGATGCTTGCGTTGTGGCCGAAATGTCGTGAGAATTTTATGGTATTATGTAAACATTTTATTATTATATTATTTCCCTTCTACGTGACTTTACCGAAAGAACCAAGAATATCTTTAAAGTTACACGTGGAGGGAACGATAAGGGAAGGAGGTGTAGGTTCCATTTTTTTTTCATTTTGCGAATAAGTTCTCCTTAAAAAAAAAGTGGTCTAAACGCAACATATTCGAATGTAATGCACAAATGCGTGCTTTGCCACCAATGTTGAGGTACCATGAGCTGACGCTCAGCTTGGAGCGGTGTGTATAAGGAAAAGGGGGTGGTGGTTTCACAGATCCAAGAGGAACTAATCGTGAGACCCCGATTCACCTTTGATCAGTTATCAAAACCACACAGCACAGTTAAATAATGTGATGCTGCTTCAGCGAAAAATACTTAAGTTAAAGATTGTTTTTTTTTTAAATGAACTACCTATTAGTTAATCCAGCCTTGTTTTTTTTCTCTCTCTGTGATGCCCTAGAGGCCTAGACAGACAATGGGGGGGTCACGCTGCTCACCACAACTTTCGCTCATATACGGTAGAGGTGGGGGGAGTGGGGGGGGGGAGTTGGTGTCTGTAGCATTCGCCAAGGTCTGGTCTACGTTTCGCCCTGGGTTTCCTTCTCAAATTTGATGATTTTTTTTCCCCCCTCACTCATGAAAAGTCAGGATATGCCAGCATGACGACGCTAGTGGCTGGGTTGCGGTGAGCGGGACATAACATCCTGCACTGTCGGGAATTTAAAGCCCTCGTGAGTCACGGGAAAATGTTTACGCCTCACTCTGGCTTGTTTTCGGTGGGATCTGTGCTGGTGTTGGTTTACGGTTTGACCCTTGGGGTTTTTTTTTTCACAAATAAGATTTTATGTTATACATTAAATCCTGCAGCGTTATTAGCAAGAATGTGAAGGATAAGGGGGGGGGGGAAAGGCACGATTAAATCTCTGGATTTTAAAAGCTCTGTGATTTATGGTCATGACGCATTGGGTTAATATTATAATGGATTTCTATGGCTTAAGTATTTGTCCGTCTGGGTATGAGCCATAAGGGGACATACATAGTTACAACAGAAAATTAATGTTTAATGCACGTTGCCCTATAGGAAGCCTCTATAAATCTTAATTCGCGTGCGTTTAATTTATGACAGTTAAATTTCGTGACTGCAGGAAACTCTTTTTTTTATTCCTGATGACGAACGCTTGTGTTGCGATCGAAACGTCGTAGTTTTTTGTTATTTTAGTTATTTTCCTTGAACCTATCTACGTGACCTTACCGAAAGACACAAAGAATATAGTTAAATACCTCGTTTAATAGTTGTGAAATATCCTTCAGGAGTCTGTACTCCTCTGCAATGTTGATGTTTTATATCTTTGGTTTGTTGTAGCTAGCAAACTGGATTAATGGATAAGCAGTGATGAAAATAAAATAAACTCAAACTATGTGAAATAAAATCATAATAATAATTATTGTTTTATTCCCAACACATTTCAATATAGATAATGGTAATTTTAGCCATCTGAAATAACCTCATACAACTTTAATCTGCCAGTGTCTATTTACAATCGTGTGTAAAATTACTCCGACCATTATTAAATGCATTGGCGGTAGACGTTGCGCCAGTATTATTTCTATTTGTAACAGCAATAGCGGAGCATTAGCAGCAAGAGCTGCAAAGTTTATGCTTTGAAAATCACTTACAAAAGTGGCCAGATAAAGATCACGCATTGAAAAGGAATGGACAAGAGAAAGATAGCAGAGAGAGAGAGAGAGGGTCGCATTACAAGGGAGATGTGGAGGACCTTAATAATTCACATGTTGAGAGAAAAATTGATTCAGGGTGGTTGAGATAAAGCTAGAGTCTGGCATAGCCTGGGAGACGAGGGGCAGCTGTTACGAAGCGTGAAGAGCGGCTGTCTGCCTGCGATATATAGAGATTGTCGAAGGGCACTTGGATTGGGAGAAAGAGCGCACAGGAATGTCCGTAGGCGGTTTGTGGTTCCCACAAGAGGTGAAATAAATTCGGCTTTCAAAAAAAAGAAGAGAGGAGCACGAGGAAGAATCCACCGCGGTGAAAAACTAACGTGTGTTCGCCGCTCACTGCAGAATGTGCCGCGCGTGTGACGGCGAGCGTGGCGAGCATAGTCAACAGCCCAGTCCCTACAAGCTGTGCGGTGGTGATTTTTTTTAGGGGAAATCATCAATGTCCAGGCTGTCTGAAGAGTAGATGTTAAAGACCCTTTGCGGTCTTCATTCACGAAGTACGCTACTGGGTGCTGTTGGTACCATACACAAAATGTGAGCTCTTACTTGCAAACACTTTTTTTTTACTGTATTTATTTAACTCGGGTTAACCAATTTTTACCTTGAAAATAGATAAAGAATTTCAACAACCTCCCTCCTGGATAAGTTGAAGGACACTGACTCAAATGGAGATAGATATTGATGGTTGTGTTGTGTGCATGGTTAAGAGCATTGTACACATCTGTGATGTTCAGAGTGTATGTGGTGTGGTGTGTGAGTTGGAGGCAGTCGCCCTCCAACAACAACGGAGGGCGGAGGAGCGACGCTCACAACAACGAGCAGAGCGCAGGGTGGCTAAAGTACAGCAAGTTGGCACAATAGGGGGCACAGGTGGTGCGTCAGCCAGTCATCTCGGTCATCTCAGTCAGTCGACCCGTGGCACCTGGGTCTGCTCCGTGACCTCCTGCCAGCGGGCGTTCGACACTTCACGTGGCCTCAAGGTGCACATGGCCTGGCACAAGCGTTATGGTGATGTCACCGCCACTTAGTGGCGAATGGCGGTTGTGTATGCGCGACTCTTTTGTGTTATGCATGCTGTGTCCCGCGTGTACAACGGGATCTAGACGTGCGTTCGCTATGTATGCTGTGAGCGCTGTGTGATGCAAGGCCGTAGTTATAATATATATTGAGGGGGACACATCCCCCCCAATATTCAAATATGCTCAAAATGTCCCCCCCCCCAATATATGGCTATGAAATAGATTTCTGTTTATATGATTGTGGTTATGGTTGTACTTTATTAATCCCAAATCTCTGCCATTACATACAATGAAACAAGAAAAGGTATAAAAGAAAAAAACAGAACAATGTAATACAATACACTATTAGACATTATTGTTAAAAATAAATAAAAGGTCCATCCTATGTTAGTGAATTTTTTTTATATTTTAGGCAGGAAATTCGTTTTCAAATTCAGATTTTTTTTTCTTCTGGGGGATGACCCACAGACCCCCTGGAAGATTTGGTCCCCCCCAATGTTGACTCCATGGCTACGGCCTTGGTGTGATGAGTGTAGTGAGTGCGGTGAGTGTGGGGTGAGCAGTCCTCACCAGCACAAGCTTCGTCCAGGTCGTGTTTGGTGAATTTCAGGCGGTTGCCCTGCAGCGTGCACGTGTGGAACTGCACGCGGAATACCACCTCCCGACCGTCCTCCGAGCTCCGGTAACATTTCACCTACAGCAGAGATGAGCACTCACTCACTTGCTCACTCACCCACAGACCCACCCACTCGCTCATTCGCTGATTCGCTCACTCATTCACTTGCTCACCCATTCAATAGGTCACTCACTCGCGCACTCACTTGCTTGTTTACCCACCCACTCACTCACCTATTACATCTATACACCCACCCAACCCAGACTCGCATACTCGCTCACTCCTTTTCATATCCTCAACGAGCCTGAAAAAGTAAAGACGTATCCGTGGCATAGGAGGGCAGGGGTCAGCTTGCGAAACAAGCGTACTCTAACCAGAGGTCAGGGCCCATTAATTATCTCAAGATGAGTCAAATTCAGCCATGCAAGAGATTAATGGAATCACTACTTATATCGGCATAATAATGCACGTGAATTTCCACCGCTGGTTCAGGGCTGCATAGGAGGAGATGGAGTGCTGTCCTTTGCTCAGTTGAGCAGGAAACCACTTTAACTTTTGACGTACCATGCAATAACTCTACAACCTCAATCTCCAACTGTTTAAGATAACAGTTTCCCACTGCAGGTGATCTGTAAGAAGTCACGGCGACCTTGATGGATTGGATTGAACAGTAGTAGATTTGTGTTGAGGTTTTTTTTTTGCACCCAGAATAACTCACATGAGCCGAAGTGGACTTACGGGCAGTGTCAGGGCTGGGTGTTTATAAGGGCACCCAAGTCACGTATGAGGCCACGTGCTTATTTGATTTAATAACGTACATAACTGTAACCGGAACATCACATCACACATAATTAGTTATTGCAGGTCCTCTAAATGTGGGCTATTAGCTGGTGTCACAGAAGTCACCAAATCTGCAAGAATCAAGAATATATAACACTCACCTACGATGTGTTTTTTTTTTTAAGAGTGAGTTCCTACCTGTTATCAAGCTGATGAATGTCGGGTAGGGGGTGAGGTATGATGAGAATGTGTGTCTTACGCTGTCAAATTTAATACCTCTGAGGAGTATGAGAACGTGTTCGTAGAGGTTTTTCTACCTTTCATGAATGTAGAAATAACAAACTACTTCTGGCTGATGGCCTCCTGACTCCATGGCAGTTATGAGGCTTGTTAGAACATACTTCACCACGCTGGTCAGTGTGGCTTGGTTATTGTAGCGAGGCCAGATAATAATTTACACTGTAAAACAAAACAGAAGGCAGTGGACCCGCTGCTCAAATAAGATTGGGGCAGTGCTAATATTTTTGGTCGCTCTGAGAAAGTAGCGGAAACTCCACGATCCTATGGCAAGGCCCAGTCTTTCTTATAGGACAGCCATACTATGAACTCTCCACAAAGTGGTGCTAATTTGTGTTGTTCTCAACCCGAGAGTGATAACGGGCAGCATCCGATACTCCGGTTCACAACCTTACAGTTGTGAGCGAAGCTTTCTGCTGCAGCACCACCCAGTGGAATAATCCTTCATAAATAAAAGTAATAAAGTGAGGAAAAATTAATTGAGTGAGGCATTATTATATCGACCCGCGGTTTGATTCATGAGGACTTCACTAGAGTTGTTTGCCGCGGGCTGGGCTGATCCTGGCCCCAGCACTGCGGCCAGATTAGCCTCTACCCAGGACCGACAACAGCCTTATTCTTCTTGTTTCGTACGGCTGCTGATGTAGATGGCAGAGCAACAACTGCAACTTCACATTCAGGTCGTCTAGCCGGATAACCTGCGTCAAGAGCAGCGGAGTGTAATCGCTGTGATGTCTCCTTCGTTTTTTTGTTTACGTAGATCTGGACATTGCGTCGTATACATGCTGCACAGGTCTGCCCTGGACAACGGCAGTCAGCACACTCCTACTGGAGAGGCGACGGCAGTGAGCCTGAGCCGCACGCACCAGGATGTCGCCCTTGAGCACCACTCCCGGGGAGAGGCTCATGCACAGCGGGGCTCCGTCGCGCACCTCCGCCCGGACCGTGCTGCCGGCGCCAGGGTTAAGGGAGGATGCACGGATGGGTAAGACAGAGTGGGGGGGGAGGAGAGGAGTGGGGGGGGGGGGGAAGGTGGTAAGAGTGAGGAGAGCGCACGTCAAGGCATGGCCGAGACGCACAGCACATGGCGGTGACATTCCGTCCCTCCGCTCGCACGCTGAAGATGTGTGGCTCCTTGTCGGCACTGGCAGTTGAAGGATGTCTTGCTGAGGCAAGCTGCAGATTGTTGACGGAGTCGGCACGATGTCGAGTGATTCTCCCAGGCCACGTAGGACTTGGTAAGGAGTGGAATTTCAACAGTTTGCCATCTATTGTAAAGTAGACACTCGAGGCCCAGTGCCACTTTTTAAGAATATTGCACAGTCATTCATTTTGGTTTTGTTTTCCAAATCTAATGCAATACTTTAAACTCATATAAAAATTCATATTGCTAATAATAGATGTTTAGATTGCCACTCAAGCATACCTTGAGAAAGAGATAAGATTATCTCAACGGGCTCTCGTATGAATGAAACTGAAAGACAGAATAATTATGTGCCGCATCGTTGGTGCTTAGTGCTCAGCCGTCACCTGTGTGTGGCTGCCTCTAACTGTGTGTGGCTATCTATGTCTGTGGCTGGCTGTCTTTGCCTGGCTGTCTGTGGCTGGCTGTCTGTGGCTGGCTGTCTTTGCCTGGCTGTCTGTGGCTGGCTGTCTGTGCCTGGCTGTCTGTGCTTGCCTGTCTGTGCCTGGCTGTCTGTGGCTGGCTGTCTGTGGCTGGCTGTCTGTGTGGGTTTACATGAAGGTACTCACTACACAGGTGAGGTGTAGTACAGGTGCAGCCCCTGGTACAAGCGCAGGAAAACGCGCCCACCTGCACACCGCACACGCAAGGGCAGTGCGTGCAGCACAAAACAGAAGAAACCTCGAACAATGCGTAGATACGGCACATGGCATTTTCCACATCACAAATCCAATTAGGTATGCAGGATGCGGCATATGTCCCATGGTGCGTGCTCGGCACACAATAAGGCACCGATTCATTGACTAGAATTGATTCTTATGCTCACGATACGTGCATTGTGTCGTGCGTGTATGAACTGATTGTTTTCGATTCGTTGCATGTAATGGGTTCACCTGACCCCTGCAATCACTAGAGGAGCTAAATTTGCCCCAACACAAAATAAACAACGAAGCTTTATTCATTCGAAAACGTGAGCCCGAATTATGGCAATTCATCACATCGCATTACATCACGCATCTCCTATTTCCACGTAGTTTAATTATGGCAAGTTTGTTTTCGTGATGTTGTTCTTATTTCTCTTTACCCACATTATGATGTGTTTTTGAGACTTTTGTTACTTTATACTTTTCATTTACACTAACTCAGGATTTATTTATTTTCGTTTTGAAATGTGGTCCACTAAATAGCTTTTTTTATCCAAATGTATTGCTTAATAGTTGGCAACGTCATGTTTTACTTTAATAATATCATTCAAGTTTCTTTCACAGTGGGCACCACGCTAAATGACGTTCACACAGCGTGCCACTCATTTGTATTTTATTAAGTATGTAATTGCTATAGACTATTATTAATATAAACAGCAATTAAGAAACAATATTGAATCTCCAAAGCTTGTATTCCACGAATTTTCTGCCATTAAAAACTGATTTTTCTAATCAACACATGCCATATACCCAGCGATTGGCAGTTTTTTTTTTCCAGCCAATTACTCACTGAAGGAAAATTATATTGCCATTCACGGGAACACGCACACACGAGACACGCACCAACACCCTTCCCAAGATAGACGGATTTTTTTTTATTGCAGGGAATTAATAAAAGAGATTGTTCTTTGTTTTACTCCCATATCCCTTCCTTGTGCACACTTATTTTCTTGCCGAGTATCCAATCTGGGCTTATAAACAATCACAGGTATTCAAAGTATAGGGCCCAGTTAGCCAAATACCGTTGGCAGAACAGCCTTACGTTTCCATCGCTGGCGATGATGAGTCTATAACTAGTACAAGATGCTAGGAAAAGCCTTTGCCATCGGGGCCTTCAGTACCACATCCAGAGAAGGCTGTTGTCTGTAAGTCCGTGTTGTTAACAAAGAGGAGGGTTGATGTAAGACCTAAAACCACGGGTGGTGACCCAAAATAAATGCTGTATTTACAATACAAAACAATTTGAATTTAAGCGTGTGAATAATTCATGCTTTCTAAATATTGAAGTGTGCCTAAAGGACTTACGGCATTGTAACACTGCTCGGAGATTAATTGAAATACTGTGCATTACATAAACATCATCTACTTAAGGCCCTTCATTGAAGTGGATGTGTGTTACATGAGCTGCCGCATTTCAATGAGCATTTTATTGGAGTGAGGCGATTTTAAATTGTGGCAACCAAAAACTTCAACTTGAACACCTGCACGTTCCATTGTTATGTAATTGTGAGGCCAATATTTGATAGTATTTAGTTGGTGCACTGTAAGGCTGGTATTAATCTTAATTTCCATTGCATCATCATTGCAATTCTAAGTGATATATTTTGCCTATATGAGACGCCATATAAAAATCCACGTTCATTCTCAAGTTTAGCTTTCCAGAAACACTCCAATCTGCTCTCGTGCAGCTCTTTACTCAATAATGTTTAGTCTCAGGTACCAACGTAACCAAACAATACCATTTAAATCAGTGAATATTCCCAATGATTGCACATGGTTCCGAAACATCGATATGCACAAAGAAAATAGAACAAAATCTGAAATGCTAACACAAAAAATGGAGAGATGCACATTGTTTTCTATTTAAGCTCAGCCACAGAAAGCAAAATAAGTGATTTCACATTATGGCCAAGAGGACATATTCAAATTAAGGCCATGATACTGATTCTTAAGGAAAGTAAGTGGGCTTGGGCAGGACACGTTTCTATAAGAGATGATTGCTCGTGGTCGAGACGAAATAAGGAACTGCAGCCATCGGCGTAAACAAGTCTGAGAGACCATCCATTGAGAATAGTGAAATCATCTTAATCGCAGTTGCTCGATGGACTATTATATCACAGATTTGGGGATGTTCAATCCAACAGTAGATTGATCACTATGACTAGTTAGATCACCGAATGATGATTGAGCATTATAAATGTGCTGAACCGATAGATGTAACACATGAAGCCACGTTGGCCCAAAAGGCGAACATCCAAGCAGCACTCCAGATCTCTACGCGGTTGCTATACCGGCACCACAAAACGATGGAATGCATGAATTCGTGAATCCGGTCACTCTTAGCTTCTCTCCAAAAGAATAAAAGCCGAGACAATTCCGGTGGGCAACAACGCCCAGCTCACAGTTCAGCACAGCTAACACAGACAAGTGGCGATGATCGTGAAGCGGTGGACACCTGTTTCCAATACAAGCTGGGCGAGGTCGACCACATCAATGCGCCTTCGCTTGAGCGTCACGAGTTTCTACAGCAGATGCCCACTGCAGCGATCACTGCACCCTTACGGTGTCTTCTGAGTTTTTTTTAAATGAAGTTACGCATTTTTATGGGGCACCAATAGTACTGCACACAATTTTGTCCACATTTGTTGCAATGCTCATAAGCAGGAGGCCAGCCTCACGCTTCAAAAGAAGTGCACGCATAAGGAGATAAACTTGGCTGTTGAGAGTTGTTGGTGTGTTCGCATGCAGGTGTTATACATGTGTACTTGTATATTCATGCGTGTAATTACATTCGCAGGTATATATGTGCTCCACTTTGTATGTGACACTGTATACATGATATGAGATATAGTAAATAACTACTTCTCTGTGCAACATGTGTATGCATGGGGGCACACATGACTGTGTGTACAAAATACGAATATTGTACGCATGTGTGTGCACGTGTGCGTAGATATGTATGTGCGTTTATGTGCACGTGTGAATGTCCGTGCATGTGTGCCTGCACATGTGGTTGTGGAGTGTGTGCGTGTGCGCGTGTGCACGTGTGTGTGTGCAGATGCGTGGATGTGTGTGTGTGCGCGTGTGTGTGTTCCAGACCTGGGGGACCCCATGCGCCATGAAGGAGGATGTGGGAGAGGTACACAGGGGCACTGTTCATCTTGATGGAACCTGACAGTAGGCCGTTGAAATAATACACGTACCTACACAGCAGCGACAGCAGCGTTAATTGCAAAGAGTGCCAAGGGGCCTTTAATGAGCAGCACAGAGAAAGGACCTCATATTAGGCTTAAAGCTATAGTGTCAAAATTGAGTTTCGGCTATGTGTGTTTTAAAGTCTTTCATTACGTTACACAGTGTGTGGTTAATGAAACCAAAAATGACAGCAGCTGTTAAATTATGAGTAGAAATATTACCAATGTGTAATCGCTAATTCTCACACATGTGAGTGAAATTTTACATTAATTGCAGCAGAATTGTGCCAAATGAAAGAGTCTAATGGCACCCTGATGTAGTCTACCCCTTATCATCTACAAGCCCGCATTTGACAATATCAGGCTCTGCGCCACTACATCCCTAGAGCTAATTAGGAAAATATTAAATGTGTGCATTCCAAGCAGGGTACCCCAATTCACTTGCATTCATTGTTTCTGATATGAGGTTGAGGAATGGAGTTTGGTGAGATGAATCGTCACAATAATGGGAACAACCGAACTTTGTTCGCGCGAATTGAATTGACGGCCCTGTCACGAAGGATGTTCACCACAACAAGGCCACGTGTGAAGCCTGCACGGTGTAGAAATCTCAGGGTGTCACATTCAGCCTACACCGATGCTACTTTTACAAAGTGCATATTTGTGAAAGTTTATTCGACTCTTTGCCTTTTATTAGGGATAGCAGTGCCATAAAATGATTATGTTTGATCACAGAGATAAGATTCGGTTTTTCTACAGAAGAAAAACAATAAAGTTTGCCACGGGTGTGCAGCAATGTAAAAGCGTCTTATATAAAGAAAATACAGTGACTGCTGGTAAAACTCAAATGTCGTATCTTGCTGTCCCCCTTTGCCTCAATAAATTAAGTGAACAGATATCCTTATTTCATGTGAATATATCAGCGTGAATACAGATTAATGTGCTCATTCCTACAGCTGGACTCGATCTACCCCTGGATGCACATTCCAGTAGAGGGGCAGCTCCTACACGGAACGCCTTCAAAGTGACCCCAAGTGACCTCTTAAAGCTTTTTATGTGACCCCCAAGTGACCCCAGTCACCTGACGCTGACCTTGTCTTATAAAACCATGCAGTGGGCAGCATAACATTTCATTGTCACAGTTCCTCTGCGTTATAACTTGCGGTGGCTTAAAATCTCAGTGGTGATATTGACAACAGATCACTTCATATCATGGAACGTTGAAATGTTGCCGTGTTATTTCATGTACAGTATTTAAAATATGTTCCTGGTGAAGTACTCGAGATTAAATTCCTATTTAAATCTCCAAAAGATGTTATTTGAAAACCCGGAGACCATCATAATGATGTGTCAAATACAGTAATCTCTATTCATTCAGCACATAGTTTTGACATTTACATTTTGTAAAGTGCATGCTACGTGCCTGTATGCTATGTGCTGACTGTTGTCAATCATCGGCCGTGTGCTTTACCGTTGCTGTGAGGGTTGGGTGAGTGACGCAAACTTTTCCACGTAAAACCTCTTCATGGCAAATCTGTCCAGAGCCTGATCCGCACTGTGGTACACGCACACACGAAAACAAAAACAAAGATCCCCCGTATAGCCTTCACAGACTGTTGGAGCAAGTGTTGTTAGCGAGCACCTATGAAGGCCATCACGGCACACAAGGCGGTGGGTGGCCAGTACCACACCCAGCCGCCTTTGTCTCCCTTGTGATACATCACACCAGGTACTCATTTGCGGCTGAGTCGATCCGGGGGAGGCCCAGGACCGTTTCAGATTATTGTAACCGGTGTTAGCCATGAGCTCCCTATAAACGAACGCTTATACACACATACACACGTGATCATGAGTATTTTTAAATATACACTTGCGCATACACAAACCTACATACTAAATACTTGCATAAATATGCAATACCTACACGCTCACTCATCCATTGACATGTACACATCATTCATAGTCATAGCATGCACTGTGTGGCATGCACTCGCGTTACAATACACGTGTGCGACCAGTGTCGAATTGCTGAGATATATTAGGAGCTAACTACACAGACACAACGGGGTGAAGCAACATGAGTGTGACAAACATTTACTTCTGGATGCTTCGGAGAAATTAACTTCTGGCCTCAGACGATTTTTTGTGGGTGCGACTATTGACCCATCCACCTTTGTGAAAGAGTAGAGGGAATGTCATTCCTTGTTTCACTCATATATATTCGGATAGTTGTGTCCACCCATTATGAGCAAACAGCATCATATGCACGTATGTATGTTGAACTTCTTTCGCGCTAATCAGAGGTGTGGGTGGAAGGACAACAAACTCAACACAAAACCCAGTTCTAAAGAAATAAAGTTTTCAATCTACATTTCAAAGCGCCATAGCTCCCCCCAGTGGCTTCCTCATATCGGAAGGAAGAGCGTTCCAGACGGCCGCAGAAGCGCACCTGAAAGCGCCGTGCGATGCGGTGACTGTCACATGAAGAGCCAATGCAGTATGAGACAAAGAAGTGGTGGATCCTAATCAGTCACCCGTTGCCATTATTGAGGCAGTTAAAATTTGGGCAAAATATTAAATGAAAGCAGGTGATTTTTTTCCATAAAATTAATATACAAAAGAAAAGTATAGAATTGCCGGGATAATATGAAACATGTATGTCAACCGATAAGGTTGTGTATGGAGGTGTTCATCGCTGTTGTGATTCAAACTAGTCACCTGGCTAGACGTCAGTACTGCAAAATAGACTAAGCTGCACAATTAAAATTAATGCAGTACTTTCAAAGAATAACAATAATACTCTTAAGTTTTTTCGGTAAAGTCACGTAGGTAAAAATAATATTTTTATTTTATTATAATTTTTTACCTACGTGACTTTACCGAAAAAACCTAAGAGTATGAATCCTTGCAGTCCAGAAAGCTTCAAATCTAGAATAACAATAATACAATTAAATACCGAGCCATTGATGTTCTAGAGTAAAACGTCATAAATTTATAAGCTTCTTTAAAATCTGGTTAAATGTATGGACTTGTTGAAATTGAGATAAAATCTCTTGGTCACCCATGAATGATATAAGGATGTGTTTGACAAAACACGAGTGGATCTGACATTTGCTCTGGTGAGTGTTCATGTTTTCTAATAGCGTTCTGCTTGACACTGCAATAGGTTCTGAGAGGTTGGTCAGGGGTTGTGGGGAGGGTCTAAGAGTGACAGTAATTTTGTTACATTTTGTTACTTTGTAAATTGTCAGGAACCAATTCTACGAAGTGTCTACAAAGGCTTGACCTCTCATGTTATATGCTCTTTGCTCACAATTATTGGCCACCATTATCTGTCTACCCTATCACAAAGGTGACATGGTAATAAAAAAATCCCTTTTAACTGAAACTAGCTGGAAGAAGCAGGTCTGAGACCTTTTAAAAGCTATTTTTATGATTTAATTGTTATTTGTATCTATGTTTTAGGCCGGCTTGGCTGTTCAACCTCTTGGCCCTCTCCTGGCCTCCCCGACCTTACCTCTTCCATCGTGTCTCATTCTGAGAGGTAACTAGCAATGCTTGGGCACTCACTCAGCCTTGCTGCATTTCTGGGTTTTTCTGCTACGACATTTGTGGCTTGAGGTCTCCTCTGGGGCCTTGCATCTATGGAATTACAGTGTTATAACGTCTCTCAAGGGGCCTTGTCACTGCCTTGCCAAAGGTGGTGCGGTTTGGTGGTTTGTGGGGATCGGTGGTGTGCCAGAATGGTGGCCATTTTGTCCCATCGCTTTTCCAGACTTCCCCTTGCACTCTGCTGATTCTGGGATTCTCAGTGGCTGTGTGTACCCTTGTGGGCATGGGCCATTGTTTATCCCTGGGTCTCGGATGGCCTTGACTCGGTGTTCCTTTATGCCTCAGTGTTACTTGGCTTTATATTTTCCTAGTTTAGGATTGAAAAGGCACTTTGCAGTGTCGTAATATTTTAGCGCTAAATAAACAGGAAAAAAAACTAATCCTTTGTGTTTCTGAAGAGTTCAGAAGCACATTTAATTGTGTATTTTAAACATTTCTGATATTAAACATTCGTTAACGCACACAAACAGTCTCTTACATACATACGTCTCTTACATACATGCAGGCAGACACAATGTGGCGATGAACACCCAATATGTCAGTGCACACACCTGGCACAGATGGCACTGTAGTGCATAAAGGCAGCGATAACAACACCGGCACTCCCGCTGTTACCCTGAAGAGGGGCGAAGAGAAAAAGAACAATTTAGAGACAGCGGCCAGAGACCACAGAGGAGCCCAACATACCTAACATGTACTGCACATGTATGCCACACACATTCCACATCTGATTTATACAACGGCCGTGCATTATCCGATTTTTCAGTGTCAAACCCCAGAGAGAGAAAACGTGTGTAAGGGACAATATTCACGTGCTCTGGAGACGATCGCTAGCATGTGCCCGAGAGAAAGAATTACCAGCAAATTCGCTCCAGCTTAAAAAAAAACCTGGGGCTGTAAATGGTACGTGGCTCAAGGGTCGTAACTCAGAGGGCATCAACATTGTCACGGTGACCCATGAAAAGAGCACTGATTGGCAGATGTGCCAGGTTAGGGTTGTTTTTTTATAATGTGAAGGCGGCAACACCAGAATGGAATTTGTCAGTGATGCTGCCACCCTGAGTTCTGACTTCCAGACACACTACAGTGCTCCAAGGCTGCACGATCGCTGTAAAACTGACATAACAGAAGTTTATCAGCTTCTGTGCTTCTATGATTTACTAAGAGGTTCACTTTCCACTCCAAATCTGCACATTCCTCATCCAAAACACGCAGGGTGCAAAAAAAACGGTAAATGTCAAAATGACATTGTTAAACATTAAAATTTGTCAACGTTTAAATTTGTGAAACATTCGCGTTTTGAATGAGGCCTATTGCTTCAAGGTAACTACTTTAGATATGTCCAAGGAGTTATATGATTAAATAAGATGATATAATTTCCATCAATTAGGGCATAATCAGCCCAGACCTTGGAGAGTTGGCAACTTGAAGATGTGTGCTGCCAAGCATTTCCGGCTCAGTAAATTTCACCACTAAACTGGGCTTCTTGTAAATAAGAAAAACCTAATCCATAGGCCTGAAGTAACAACACCTTAAGTGACCCTGTGCTCTTAATGCCAACGCGAGCCCCTTCTAGGCTTGCAAATCCTGACGAGTGGGATTTTTTGAGTCATTACGGAACCACGAGTGCTGGAAGGCTGATGCCTCCATCAGCATTGGACGGTAATTATTTCCGTGTTCCTGTTTGTTTACGCAGCAATGTTCTAACATTCTGCAATTTCCTTTTTCCATTTTTTTCAGAAGCACTCTACATAAACAATTTGCACACGTGTGTGCCATTATTATTATTTATATGTTTCTTGTGTATAACTAAAAGTAACAAAAACTATGTTTTTAGGCCAGTTGGCCAAATACCGATATTTTTTGTTTGAATTAAAATTTCTACTCTTTACATCTCCATTTTTTACTAATAATACAATTTGCTGAAGCAGTAATGTGTGTGCTGATACAATGATATTACAGCTCCTGGTAACTATGCCTTTGATTGGTTTACATAGAGGTCTTCATAACCAATCCTGTCTTTGGTGAAATAGTTGTACAGGTCCCGATGACCGATTGTGCCTTTTATGGACTATCACAGATGCCATACTGACCGTTGACCAGGCTTGCTCACACAGCCATTGCACACCTGAAAACGCCCCTTTGTGAATATTGAATCGAGAGTCACCCCTGAACCCTATAAACCCTTTGCCCTGCTGACCGCACAGTGAAGCACAGTGACATGCAGGGGGTGTGAGTTGAGCCAGGAGTCGATGGCCTTGCAGATGCTACACAGCGTGTCCAGGTGAGGCGCGTGGCGCGAGGGCCAGCCAAAATCCAACACCTGCACGCCACGCCACATCGTTACTCCCCAGAAAACATGCGCAGCCCCCAGGCAGCTTTTACATCAAAAGTCAACCACTCATCTAAGCAGGCATATCATCTCAATCGTACCGAATAGCTGAAGGCAATGGTGCAGCCCTGCAATTACTTGCTCATGCCACTGCTAGTGGAAGGGTCTCTGGAGATCCACTCGAGATTATCTTTGGTGGGCTACTCTTCCACACTCGCCAGTTGCCTTGAAAAGAGTTGGTAGTTATCCACTCACTGTGGTTTCCCCATTTGTACAGACCAATTCATCAACGACATTGGAAACATTTATTTTCAACTCATTTTTCTTTGTCTCACTCGCACCTCATTGGGCACAACATGACTTGTTGTTTTTGCTTGTCAAGGTAACACGTGTGGTGCAATGCATGTTTACCTTTGCCCCGCTGCTTTTTTTTTACAGTGGTATCCTAACCACCTTGTCCTCGAGTGAGGCTTTTGTTTTTATATCATGTGGTGGTGATGATGATGGTGCATCAATAAGGTTGTGTGCGTTTGTTACAAATGTTTGTGGGAAGCAATGGCACAGTGGTTAGTGCACTGCACTACAAACCCGGTGACCTGCGTTCGATTCCCGCTCATGACCAATAACAGTGGCGAATATCTGAAACGGTGCTAGACCATCCCCTCATACGATGCAGCCTCAAATAAGTAGCTCGTGTGGCGTGTAAACATCAGCGCTGGGGAGAGAAACGCGGCCAAGCATTGTGATGGCCCTCATGTGCCATGGCGGCCTTCATAGGTGTTCGCTAACTGCACTTGCCCCAAAGGCTACTTGGTGGATCTTTGTCTCTGTACATGTGTACCGTTCCATTGCTTGGTCACAAACGCTATCAAAATAATAGTTTAACGTGAACTGCTGAAATACGTCTTCTGGTAATCCCCACAGCTAAACGCCACTGTGGATGGTTATGGAGGGCAATGGAAAACACACCGGGAAAGGTCCTGGAATGTCACATTCCAAGGCTGTTTCCCATCAGTGTCTCAAATGGGGTAAAGATGCATCTCCCCTTTGCCTCGTGGCATTATAGCATAATTAAGATATATTGAGAAAGTTAGGTTCGAGATGTGAATAAATCTATTTGTAGCAATGTATGTTAATAAATAAATGGAGAAGCTCCAATTCATGCTTGTTTAAGCACTTGTTTTTATGAATTTGGTGAGAGTGTATGCATGCGACTAATTGTATGCGTTTTTTGTGTGTGGCTATGAGGGGGTAGTGGTGCCACGTAGATTTGCACAATACGCTACAATCCCAGGCGACCTCGGTTTGTTTCATGGCCATGTACGACATCAGCGACAAGTAGCATCTCAACCTATCCCTACTTCTGAGTCTCCTCCAAATTAACTCGACCTGGTGTGGTGTGTACAGGTCACCACTGTGGAGGCAAAGCTGTTATTATTTTTATTATTACCACTTGTTTACCCAGCAGTCTCATGAATCTTCGCCAGGAGGGATCTGCAAAGTGTTCGCAGTAGGGACTAATGAATGATGTGTACAATCCCATTTGAGAAATATGCAGGTATTTTATTACATTTAGACAATGACACCCTTACCACGATTGCTTACTCGTGTGAATGACGCCACTGGATCTTTAACGTCCACTGTGAAGCAGATGGCGGGTAATTTTTTTTACGGTGAATACACCAGCAGTAATTATCACGATGTTGGTCTCACGGATCCTTTGTGCAATGCCACTCTTAGCCAGGGGCTTGCCAACAGCACTTTCCCCAACAGTCTGCGAGACTAAATGAGCCATCTTTGTGTTTAGTCGTATTCGCATCAATGTTGCTTTTCTTTTCCTTTGTATTTTGTTGGCACACGTTATTCACAGCATACGCATACAATGAGGAGAGTGTGCTTGTGAGCGCGTGACCACCTGTACACACCTGTGGGTTGAGTTGTAGCATCTCATTCCGCCTTCCGGAAAGATTAATGATCTGCAAATGCAAGACAAGCACCATTCGCATATTGTATACGCTTTTACATGTACAAGAATTTGTACACATATACACATATACCGCATGCTTTAGCATTGTTTGTGGATGTACACCAGTGAACACTCGCTGCTTGTGCAGAATGAATGTGGCATTTATATGTGGGCGCACCAAAACCTATGGAATGTGGACCACGGACTTTTACAGTATCCCCCATATACCAATAATTTATTTGTTCAACAGGGAAAAACACATTCAGTCTCAATACATTTTCATTACTCGTGCATGTGGGAGGAAATTGCAGTAACTAGCATAACACTCAAATATACAAACACATCGCCTTCGTGAGAAACCAACCTTGTTCGACTGCTTCCAAGAGGCATCTATTGCCCTGCAGGCTCCATCGGTGCATTATCCACCAATCTTTGGGATTACAGGCGTCTCTGTGTAAGTGTGCGGGGCTCTGCCTGTTGAATGCAAGTTGATTTATGCAAAAAATGCCAATCCTTCAGGAATGCCTCAATGAACCTCAGGACACTTTATCAAGAAGGTCGTGCATTGGTATGTTTCAGTCCTTCCGTTAGTGAGTGCTTTGCTTCTTGCTGGAGGGATCCAGAGTATGGACATATGCACATGTGCGGACCTACTGTCAATCCACTTTTGTCAAATCCACTGCTGGATAAGGCCTTCAACAGCCTACAACACCTGTTTTGTGCACAGTAGTCACCGATACGAGTACCATCCACACTCTAACCTTGCTTAACATCGGAGATGCGGCACAATTAAACAGTGTTGTCTTTGGTCACGTTTGAATTCGCTTGAGCGCGTGTGAGCATGCGGTAGTGTAGCGGTTCGCATGCTGCGCTACGAACCCGGTGATCCGAGTTCGATTCCCACACACGGCCAACACCAGCGACGATTATCTGAACCGGTCATGGGCCTCCCCTAGGTCGACTCAGCCTCAAATGAGTACATGGTGTGGTGTGTAAACATCGCCACTGGCGAGACAAAGGCGGCCGGGTATGGTGCTGGCCACCGAACCCCTCGTGCGCCGTGCCAGCCTTCATATATGCTCGCGAACTGCACTTGCCACAACAGTCTGTTCAGGCTATACGGGGGATCTTTGTAATCTGTACGACCGACCCACCAGGTATTTGTCGGCGTGCTTGGAGGTGAGCATGCCGGCGATGTCGCGGAGGCTGCTCTGGTGCGCGTGCTCCGGGATGCCGGGCGGGAGCGTGGTGGCGATGATACGCTCCGTGATGTACGTCAGGTCGAACTCGAAGGGGGCCTCCATCTCGGCCACGCGTGCCCTGCAGGACATATGCCTGTAGTCTATGTTATATGTGCGTATGTTGAACTTATTTCACACCATGCGAAGCCAAACGTGCTAATCGGAGGTGCGGGGGAAGAACAAAAAAATGTATATAAAAAGCAGTTGTAAATAAATTAGTTTTCAATCTAGATTTAGAAGTGCATAGCTCCAGTTGCTTTATAATATCGGAAGAATGTTCCAGACGGCCGTAGAAGCGCATCTGAAAGAGCTCCCGTTTGGGCTGATTGGTGTAGAAAAAACGCACCCGGAATCGTTATCCGACGTGGGAGGGTTTGATCGGTCACAAATTAATTCGATATTCTCAGCCAAAGGAAATCTCCATCAGTGTCAATCATAGGGGTATAACGATTCACATCCCCTGGTGATTTGATGCATTGTCGCAACTCAGGGTCACCACAATTCGGTTAAAGTCTCAACCATCTATTATTTCATTATTTACGTTTCAGTAAATGGTAGCATCACTTGTAGCTGTAATGTGAACCCATTAAATACAACATACAAAAATCTAAAATATTAATTTAAACACATGCAATGTGATGAGTGTATCGTGAGTTTAAGAATGAATATTGCAGGTTTGAGTCTCTGCATCATTAAACTCCTCAGTCACCAGGGCACAATTTGGGATTTTGAACTGCCAGAAAAAAATCCCTTTTGAATATTGTTGTACCTTGCATGTGAGAGCTCATCCCAAGAAAAAAAACGAAATCAATCGGATAAAACTCTAATTTCTCATGAATAGGTCAGCAACTTGCTTTCTGTCCAGCAAAACCCAGAGGAATGTCACTGCCTCACTTCTTAGTTTGCATTCATTGATGATTTGAGTCACTGCATATGGCATTTGTATACGTATCTTTGGCGCATGCTAAATTTACACTGCATAGTATTAATTCACTGGATGCTATGAGCGTATGCAGTGCATGTTGAGGAATATGAGAACACAGAGATGGTTGCCATTCTTGTAATTTTTTTTGCAGGCAATAGTGCAAAGGGCATACAGCAGGCAATGTAAGCAATATATAAACGAGCGAACAGACACTATTTTAGCTCATTTGAGGCCAAGGCAACCTGTAAAAATCCTCAATGAGCGCTGATTCTATGCCCTTAGCTGACCCCGAGGGATGCCTTTACCAAACTTTGAGACCGTATTTAAAGCATTTGCACAAACGAGCTTCTTTCTAAACGATGCCTCCCCTTGGCGGGGGCTTGTGCAGTATGAGCCAACAGGCCCCACTCACCCACAGCGTAGGCTGTACACTGCAAGCTTACTACTCTCTGCAATTAACGTGCCTTAAATGTTAACGGACGTGCAGTTTACTGAGAAAACAGGAAGAGGGGAGGTGGAGAGGGAGTGTGGGGAGCGAGTGGCAGTGGGGAGTGGGTGGCCTCACTCACGTCTTGGGCAGGTTCACCAGCTCGTAGGTCCCGGCGGCGCTTGCTGAAGCCTGGGGCGTCTGAATAAAATAAAAAACCCACAACCGTCACACTTTTACAATTTGACAAAATGCTGCCTGAGTCAAAGTCGAGCCATATTGACCATTTGCTTAAACAAGCGTGAGATAGTGCGATCCACTGGTAGAAAATCCCACAATGCTGATACGTGTCCCTCCTTCTCACTGTGGATTTCCTACAATATCATCCCTATTAAATTGAACAGCCAAACAACACATTTGCGCACTCGAAATAGCTTAAAAATACAATAGAAGAAACACGTGGTTTAGGGAAAACGTGAGTAGCTGGGACATCATAACCACTATGAATGAAAACAAATGGCACTTGTGAAAGATGCGTCAGTCGTGAGCATTGATGACAGCGGGTGGCGAAACTAGCGACAGAGTGACAAAGTCAAGGATGACCTTCAGCGTGCTTAGCAGTGAGATGAGATTCAGTACCACTGGGGCTTGTCAGCTAGGCATGTATCAATCCACTCCAACAATTAATTATGAAATCAAGTGTCACGATTCAGGGTCACAATGTTATTTAAGAATTGATGGCCAGGTGGCTCAGAGATCAGAGCACTGAGCTGGCATGGCTGAGATGCTGGGTTCAAATACAAGCAGTCAACCCTGATTAAACTGGGTTCAGACTGGCAACCAATAACTGCACGCAAGAAAATTCATCATACTAAATTTTTACTTAATTCCAGCTGTGAGAATTACATATATTGCTTTTGTAGGAAAACAAACACTCTCGTAACAGTGTGGGCATGTGGGACACCGCTTAGGAGGGTGTTTTGAGAGAAGTCCTGTGTGAAAAACCTCATAAACAATTTATTATGATTTATTTTTAAAACTAAACTATCTTTTATTTTAGCAGGTAAGGCCCACTGAGCTATACAGCTCGTTTTCAGAAGCGACCTGGCCACAAATCATAGCTCAACGAAGTGGCTTATCACGTGGAAATTTATAGCAGCCAAATACTCTAAGCGTGTGTTGATTCTAAATGTGGAGGGAAAAACCGGAGGACCCGGAAAAAATTCACGCAACCATGGGGAGAACATGCAAACTACAAATATACAGGCGTCAGGGTCGGGATCGAACCCACGACCTCCTGCATACCAGATGAGGCATGTAACATCTCACCACCACTGCAAAATGTTATCTGAATGACAAAACATATGTTTATATATTTGTTACAATCATGTTGTTGCTATCTTAATTTTTTATATTTTTGTGTATGCCCTTATTTGCCAATATTACTCAGGCAATCCATGGTTTAATCATTCATTTAGCATAGTAATACTTAGCACTATTGTTGTGATCGTTAGCAGTTACCCATTCAGGCGAAGGGTTCACTGTAGCACATTTATGGCTTGCGTTAAAAACAGAGACTTCTAAAACATGCAAATGCCAATTCCTGTAACCTTTGGTCCATGAGTAGGGGCATTTGTACACACTATGTGTACAGTGTACGAGGCAGGAGGCTTAGTTAATCCAGCGGTCAACTTCCAAGAACTGTTCATGATTAATCTAAAAAATGCAGCCCTCACTTTGTGTTACTGAGCAAGCGTTACCAGCTTTTGTGCTTTCGATTTGCTGCATATTTCTTCAAGGGTGATTAAGTATTATGTTAGTGGCGTGTTGGTCGTTAATATATTTTTGTAAAACAAACCAGTGGAGTTCCAAAACTCGCTATCTTAATTGCTTGCCCATTAAGATCAGGTCAGGATAGTTCACTTGAAAGAGCAACAGGCTAAAAATCACAGTCACTGATTCACAAATAAGTCACGCTCGGCTCAGCCAATCATTCTCCATGGTAAGTGAAAATTAGCACGACATGGCGAGCAACACGAATGAAAAATCAACATTGAACTTTGATAAACTAAACACAGCCGTAGGTATGCGGACTGTTCAACACTCGAAACAAGACCACAATGGAAATGAGTATTGGCTGGTGCACATTTGTGCATGAGAACACTTTGACAGAAGATAATCCAGAGCAGTGTACGTACGTTAATGCTAAAATTGTTTACACTGCAGTTGCACGACAGTTTAGATCTCTGATTCATGAGGTCTGTCTATATGTAATAACATTTAGGCTGTGGTATACGCAAAACAACTTGAAACGTACAGAGCGTGGTTCCTTGACACATAGTAAGCAGAGATACCCCTCACATGTGTGGCTCAAAGGCAACGAGAGCTATGTGAAAATCGCAAACGGTGTTGTGCAATTGGCCACAAGGAGATTGCGAAGGCAGCATTAGACGCGCAGCTTAAATACCTGGGCATGAAAGTCAACGTCAAAATACTGTAAACAAAAACAATGGTTGTCTCGGTCTCCTCTGAATATTCACTAATAACGCCTTATAACCACAGAATGCGACACTTCCATGAAAAGAATAGCGGTATAATTGTGGACTGTGCATGAGCGTGCATTGACGTATTTGATAGGGCACATTGCAAGGAAGAGCAAAGACAAAGTGTGAGGGATCCCAGTGGCATAAATTCAAAAGCAGCCGGATGAACGTTAATCAGGGGATTTTAAAGGTCCAACGCATACATCAGCAGGGGGACAGAAAAAAAAATGTAAAGCGTAGGAGAGTCTGGGAATGGTGTGGTTTAGACAAAATGCATGGTCAGGGGACAAGGTAGTTGGAAGGTTTTTTTTCTCAAATTCCACAAATTCTTGAGTCAACTTGGGTCCCTGATACAGTTCTTCTCCTGGGGTCAGTTGACAGACACGGCCCCAGGGCGAGCAGACCGGAACAGGGCAGGAAAAGTTTTATAGCCACCATTTTGCCCGTGCACTTTGTTGTTTTCCTTTGCGGCGTTTCGTGTCCGGCGTGAATTCGCGCCGTGCGATTCGGTCGATTGTGAACGTTGCCTCGCTTACACTTTTTCTAGGCGCCGCTGTTGCCTCATCGAGTTCCTTCCCGCTTTTAAATAGACCGGAATAAATATAACGAGCTATTAAAGCGAAAGAGGCCAGAGGAGAAGGGCAGGAGATAATGAGGGAGAGTTAGAAGCAGAAGGAAGGAAGGCTCAAGTGTCAAGTTGCCTTTGGCTCTGAACCACGGTTGAGTTCAAGGGCAGAATAGGCCCAATACACGCAGTGCATCAAAAACACATTGTTTGGCTCCCTTGCCTAATTTCATACGAAATATCTTGTTCGGCTATTCGGGATGCGTGGACTTTCCCGCAAAACAAGATATTTGAACGTCGCTCATTATATATGCGGAATAAAAAAAATGGTTCAGTCGGCAAACATCTCAACAAACATCGCAGGGAGACAAGAGCTGGACGTTGTCCGTGCGCATCCAGACTCATTCGGGGCTCGCTGAACCCATTGGCAGGATATTTACGCACAGATGAAAGGTGTTACTACAGGGAAAGAATGGGGACTGCAGTAAATCTGTCCAAATGGGAAAATCTCCTCTGTTCTTTAAAGGCCTGCCTTTCATTTCACTGAACGGCACTCTACTTTACTGCTGTGGTTTTATGCGGGGATGGCCTTACTGGGGGGTTATGTCCGAGATGAGGAATTAGCCTCCGAACGGTGCTGCAAAACATCATGCGAAGCCGTGACAGCGGTGTGGGAGTGGAACATCGACATAGCGGGGATATTGCTGTTTCTTGCCTCGTGCATGCCAGTTCTGAATGTGCGAGCGTTCTCTGCATACCCAAGAGAAACCTGTCAATGCTTACCGTCCTCTCTGGCTGTATCAGCGGCAGCTTGGCACTGCTCGGCTGGTTTTGGGTGAGATGGACAAACGGAGAGGGGGGGCAGGGTGTGGGGGGGATGTGGGTACAGAATATGGGAGAAGTAGGAGAAAATATATATTTCAAATTTAAAATACAGTCCGTATCCATTATCAAAGCCGAAGATGATATAAACCCATTGAGACCCACGATATAAAATATAACCGAGCAAGTGCTTTAGCGTTGTACACATCTCACGTGTATTCGGGGTCGTGTATGCAAGGGTTAATACGAGAATGCATCTCGCTAAATATAAAAATGTAAATGACTCAATCAAGCAATTAAAAAAAAATATCTAAAATAGAATGATATATAATTGTTCAGATGCATCGTCTTTTGGTCGATGTAGATGTACGATTTCCAGGAGAATCTGACAAAAGACGCGATTTATAGGAATAAAAAATATATCTTGAGAATACTCAACACAATAAAACAGCAAACAACAACAAAAAAATCCATAAACAATATCGATGGAGATATAACGGTCATTTATACATCAACGCTGGCACATAGCGCGTTCCTTCTCGCATCAAGCGTGGGCTCCCGCATCAAATGCACGCCGTGAACCACCACGGTCAGCCCCTGCATCGAGCTGTCGGCGCGCGTCCATCAACAAACGCGGCCTCGTGGCATTCTTGTAATCAGCAAGGGCACATGCTTGGCGAAGCAGGAGTGCCCTGGCCCATTGCAGTTGCTGCAATGGGGGAGTCTGTCCTGGGCCCTACGGTGTTTAGTGCGGTCTGCTGCTAATGATCCGTAAAGCGGCTCTCAGATGTGACACATCCCCGGGCGACGAGCCAGCAGCGAGCAACACGTGACATTTTGTTGTGGATTCATTCCCCGTGATTGGCAGACTCGAGTTGCATTCCCACCAGCGTGCCGTGCATGCCCTCGCGCAGAAACACCGTTATGCGTTGGTGCGCAGCGAAATGCGCGCAAATGAGTCGATCGCGACAACAAATGTTGAACAATGCAGGGTTTCAATTCTCACAGGTTTTATGTTCGGTGGGGGTTTTTTTTTCTCTCTCTCTCTCTCTCCGTCATGCCTCCGCTTTTGAAGGCATGGAAATAAGTGGAATGAAACAACATGACCTCGGCGCTATGACTAAAAAGCACCTTCTGCAGGGCAGGTAAGATAGGGTCACTGGCTGTGACAACACAATGGACATGAGACTGGGAGCAGCTCAGTAACTTCAAGACGATTTCATTTTTGTCTGCATTGAGGACCTGAACGTAACGGCAAGGTATGAGGCCCAGTAAACGGAATAGGAGGAAAAAACACCAAGATGTGCTTTTGAACATATCATTTCATCAAAAGTCTACAAGGTGTACCTGAAGAATCATGAAGGTTATACTCAAGTGAAATAAATCGTATCTCTCGTTATCCACGTGCTACCAGCTTGTCGCATCCACCTTCATTCACGTTTATTGATTCTGGTCATGTGATTTATAAATCCACACGCATCACGACTTCAATGCAGTCTAGACGCAGTCTTCCATTCAGCCTGGTGCTTTTATTATAAACGAGAGCCACTCTGTCCATCAATGCGACCTCTTAATGCATCCGCCATCAATACGGAAGGGCTCGAATGAATGAGTCACATCTTCCAAGACGTCTGCTCAGCGTGGAAGCGTTGGCCATCAGCAGGAGCTCTCGTGAACTATCTTAAACCCCCTTTCAGTGGAGACCCTTATGCCAAGCAGTGGTGTGAGCAAGCAATTGCAGGGCTGAACCTTTACGTTTCACACTGGTCAAGGTTTGCCTTGAAAGCATTTACGAAGATAATATCATAACGTTTGATCCGATTTAGTTACACAGGCCCTGCATTGAAACCCTGATTACACATCCCAAGCATCCTACGTCTTGGGCCAATACTAGATTTGGAGAATGTTCCTGCACCTTTTACACTCGACGGAACTGGAACAATTATTGCATCTCTTTACATTTAATGGCTAACCCATCTCAATCAGTTTTTTGTTATGATGCACTAGATTCATTGCTTGAACAACCTGAAAGTAAATGGTTTCAATCATTACGTTCTACCCTCATTTAGTGTGCATCTTAATTGTTAGTATAGATTTTGGTTTAAAAAATGTGTTTCCACTGTAAATGTTTAACTGATATTGCTTAGAATGTAAATACAATAAAAATTCGAATTAGGTTTTATTACAACAATTGTACTTTCTATTCTGTACACTCTTACTCTTAGAACTTGAGACTTCTCTTGAAAATAAAGAAACAACTTGAAGTCCCAATGTGCTCTCACGTGTTGGTAAATAATGATTTGACGTCTGAGTCGATATTCACGGTTGTGCTGTACGGCTCGCGGAACATTGCAGCCGGAGTTTTACCGCACGTTGTTGTTCGACAGGATGTCAATCGTTCCGCTCCACGTGCTTCTTCGGGAATTGATGGGCAATCTTTTTTTTTATTTGGTTACTGAAGATATTGCCAGCCAGCGGAGGGAAACATTGGACATCATACCGAGTGACGCGCGGTACAACCTGACAACACTTCAGAGAGCTAGTTTGCTTACTCGTAGATGCTTCGTGCAGGGAATTTGTCTGTGGGTTGCTCAGATTGACAGGTGCTTTCAAACATTTGTGGACATTTCAATGAATGCAGCAAAAACAAACTCTTTATGTAATATACGAGTTGTCCGTTGGACACGTAATAAAACAGGCTGTCCCTTAAATTTTGGGAGTAACAGCTCATGCAACTAAATTGTTTTACAAATAGGAAAGAACTAATAAATCAAAGAGAAAGAATAGAACAGCAAACATCCCTGTTGACAACACAGGCCCAACTTTATGGTGAAAAAAAAATGTGAGCCGTGTGACCTATTATAAGGTGGCCTTTCCAGTAATCGGTTAAACGTGTGTGCACATACATCTGAATGCATTAGGTTCAGTTATAACTCACCACACCCCACACACAGTGTAGCAGGGAGGGGCCTCGTGCTATTATTGCACGTGTCTTTGTGGACATTATGTTTTTTGTCCATGTGTGTGTGGCCTCCCCTCCACTAGTGATATCTAAACCTGTCATGTGCCTACCCTATATTGACTCACTCTTAAATGGGTACCTTGTGCGATGTGTCGACGTCGTGAGTAGTGGGGAGACAAAGGCAAACGCTGGTCACGCCGCACCCTTGTGCACAATTCTGGCCTAAATTGGTGCTCATGAACCGCATTTAACTTGTCCTCTGAGCATCCGAATCTAGCTTTGATTTTTGCCATGTTCGCCAGTGGCAAGTGGCATCTATATCTGTGCAGGGCTTCTGGGAATAGCCCATGAGTACCTGGCACACGGTGTAAATATTCACAAAGGAGGAGATGAAAGTGGCCAGTTGTGAGACACTCATTTGCTGTGCCGGTTTTCATCAAGGGCTCCCTAACAGCACTTACACCTCTTCCATAGGTTAGATTCAATGTGGAGATATTCGTGTGGCTGTGCACAACATGTGTATGAGTGCCCGGTGGGTGGTGTATAAATATCACCACTTGGGAGACAAAGGCAGCCAGGCATGGTTCTGGCCACCCACCCCCTCGGTGTGCCGTACCGGCCTTCATAGGTGCTCGCTAACAGCAGCATTTGCTCCGACAGTCTTTTAAGGCTATACGGGGGATCTTTGTTGTGTGGGGAGCGTTAGGTGTCGCGGTTAGCGCGCTCCGCTACAAACCCGGTGACCCTATTTTGATTCCCGCTCACGGACAACACCAGTGACAATTATCTAAGCCTGTCCTGGTCCTCCCCTCGGCCTCAGCCTTACATGAGTACCTGGTGCAGTGCATGAACAATGCCCCTAGGGAGACAACGGCGGCCGGTATAATAATTAATAATAATACTGCTTTGATTTACAAAAATCCCTCATCCAGCCCACTCTCAACGTTTCTGAAGGGCCACTTTCTCTTAAGATAATGCATCTTCAGGACCAGGGACGAATACAAACTGTTTCTTCCAAAGACAAAACCTGTGTAGCGTGGACGGCTCAGTGTTAGGTGAAGCCACATAACCGCACTCATGTTTTTCGCATTTTGTCATCGACTCCAAATTAATTTTTTAAACATTTTTCCAGGAAGCACAGCTGAAATGCAAAATTCTGCCCCAGCAGCGAGAGCCTGTATAGCATCACGTGCCTCTGCAAATATGCGTTACCATAGGTGACTCAAATTAAATAACATCTTAGTAGATAACATGTGTTGGGGAGAAAGGGTCTGACACAGAGCATTTCAGGTCAATTCTGCAATAATATCATGTTTATTTGTGTTCAAGCTCAGGTTACTTGTTAAAACACTCTGAAGGCGACTCTAGGAAGTAAACCCTTTGTCACTCGATGTCATAGGGCTGGGAAGGGCGTGGAAGCAAAGCGAAAATCTTGCATCAAAATGGATACATATTTTAGATATGCAGCTATGTAACTATGGCACTGGCAAAGCTGTTTTCACTAAAAAAACAGCAAGGAGCTTAAAGAGAGATTTGTTCAAGTTGATGCGGGCTTGACTATGGATCCACTGGCCCTCAAGGGACTGGTGTCTCTTTAGTCAAATCTAAAGGGGCTGTGGAGGAACGGTTTGGTGTTGAAGTGCAAAAGGCTCCATGTTTGGTAGGGAATTCAGAATCACCCCACTCCTCTCATGCTCCCCTCCCAGACCGACCACCTCTGGGCCAGTAAGACCCACTGGCAGATGTTGGGCTGTTAAGGGAATACACAGTGGAGAGCTTTTCATCTTTTTTTTCCTTTCTTCCTTTCTTTATACAGGGTAGCTCAGTTGCGCTCCGTGTGTCTCGTATGACAGATGGCCTTGCAGTGTCCGTACTGGACTAATATAGCAATAATTGGTGCATTTTTCCAGAGCGAACCATGGCCACGTGGCTGGCATGCAACGTGCATGGCTTAGGGCATAATGCGATGGATCTCTTATGTCCGTGGCTTGAGAGACCACAATGTTTACTGGTAGTTTTCCAACTGTGCTTTTTATTTCTG